CTTTTTGCCCGACGAGGCTCAATTGTGCAGACGACCCAACTCGAGACCATGAGCTACGCTCTCCGGTGTCAGGTTTGAATTCGATCGACCTGTCAAATGATGAGATCTGGCATATGGCACTCCTCAGGCCGACACGCAGATGGGCATCCAATTGGCTTCGCCTTGTGTTGCTTATTCGCCCTGGCATTTTGGGGTTTTTCCCCTGAGAGCTTCTGTGCTAGATTGCCTATGCCAAAGTCAGGCCTATTTGACCGCAGCAGTGACAGTTCAACGTCTGGATGCCTCCTCGATGGATTTCGATTGCACCTTGGGTTTTCCCGGCGAAGGGCCATCTAGCATCAGTTCATCCACGTCTTGGCTCCTCTATGTGCGGCTTGGTCTTTTGGCATTTTCATCAGCCTTTTTGTGGATTTTGCCGTTGGGTTTTTCCCGCTTCATCGCATTCCTTTTCAGCTTCCTCCTCGCTGTCCGGCCTTGCTCCTCCATCTCGCTTTCGCGCTTCTCCCCCTTCTTGCTTTGCTTCTGGGTGCTGGCTGGCTGTTGGGTGCTCCCATGTGAAGCCATGGAACCTACAACACGCGCTGAAGCCCTTCGTGCGGCTCAGCGTCGAGAAGCTGGTTTGTTCCCTGAAGGCCGACCGACGTTGGCTCAGACTGGAAGACTGCGAGATCGCTATTGGCGGCACTTCGAGGACTGGCTGAGAACAGAGAATATTGATTTCGCTGCGTTGTTGAGTCATTGTTGAGTGAGCATGTCACATATATTGATGATATAAATGCCATTGTTTCTCACTACGGCAGGGTGCTGTATTTGGCGGGTAAACCGTATAACCAATTTGCAGAGACCATTAACACCTTGACCACAAAGAAGCCTGCATTGAGACGATTGATGCAAGGGGCGTGGGATGTTGCATTCTCGTGGTTGCATGCTGAGCCAGGGGCTCATCACGTGGCAATGCCATGGCAGGTTTTACTGGCCATGATAGTTGTGAGTTTGACCTGGGGTTGGACACATTTTGCAGGTGCCCTAGCTTTTGGCTGGGGTGCTCTTTGTCGCCCTGGAGAAATACTTTCTGCACGTAGGTCGGACCTCCTGCTACCACGAGATGTAGACAACACAGTTGTTTTTGGCCTGCTTTCTATTCCAGAACCTAAGACAAGGCGCACAGGCGCCAAGCACCAAGCAGCAAAGTTGGATGTGCCGGATCTTCTTGAAGTGGCAGATTTTTGTTGGGGTGCTTTAGCTCCCGTAGATAAGCTATGGCCTTGGTCAGGCCAAACTTTCCGGACGCGCTTTAGAGATGTACTTCAAGCATTGTTGCTCCCCACACAGAAAATTGACACTATGAAAGCGTTAGATCCAGGCAGCCTTCGCTCGGGTGGTGCAACATGGCACCTTCAAATGACAGAAGATGGTGAATACACCAGACGGAAGGGGCGGTGGATTTCTGCAAAGGTCATGGAAATCTATGTGCAAGAAACGGCCTCCTTGTTGTACTTGAACCGTATTCCACCCTCTGCTAGGGAAAGGGTCATGTGCTATGCTCACCTGTTCCCCCTTGTGCTGGCCAGGACAAAGCATTTGGCTAAGATGGGCATTGTACCTTCGGCGTGGTGGTTGCTCCTACAAAAGGAAGAGCTTGGAGTAAGCGGGAGGGGATGGAGCAGAACTGAAGGTGGCTAAGAAAGCCGCCCTGTGCAACACCTTTGATGGAGAAAAGATGGAACGCTGCTTGAGTTGTT